ACCCCCAGGAAGATGTTAGGGTTGGACGTGAGTGGAGTGAGTTTGGAGGGAAGCACTGGGGAGACTGGAGACAGACCCTGAGCTAGATGGGCAGAATGGAAGCCATGGCTCCAGGCCCTCTGCTGCAGCATTAGAGAGTGTCCGCATGCTGGCCCTGGGGCCCAGGCTTGCTTAGCAGGAACGGGTGCCTTCAGGGCCTCCGATTTGAGCCTAGGACTCCACCCACTGTTCCCTGACCTGCCAGACCTGCCTAGCACCTTCTTGGATAATCAGAAGTTCCATTCCCTGTGGTATCTTCTTTCAAAGACCCCAACAACTGACAAATCCTCCCTCATTTCCATGTTTGGTGGCTGTGGCACACCTTGCCTGGTGCTGCTGGGCGGTTCTGGGCCTTGTGGCTCTGTTTGCTCCGTTGGTTCTGTTAGTACCACCTGGGCAGGGCATACAAGAGTTCCCCAGCCTTCCTCCCTCCTGGGGAATGTGGATCATCGGGCTCCCCGGAAACATCACTGCACAGGCTTTCTTTGGGGGTTGCTCTGACTTTAAGGATGGCTGTGATGCAGGAGTATGTGCCAGAGGTTGGAGGTCAGGTCTTGGAATGTCTACACTTTGCATTTGGGTTCTTGGGGTAGGTGACACCACCCCACCCCCCCACCCCCCCACCCCCTGTCATGTGATACTTTATGCCTTGGGATAGGAAGTTGCAAACATGTCTCGGGTCACTTATAGATCCCATTGAAGGAACTGTTTTCAAGGCCAACATTTGACAAATATTTAAGGAAAGAGAGAAAAAGAAAATGAGGCAATCAAAATAAAATGCTCTTAGACCTACTGTTTGAGAGCAAGAGCCTGGAGAGTGTAGCTGGTGGGCAGGGGCACAGCCCACTTGTCGCTTGGACGCAGTCGGCCCAAGTAAGCCATCATGAGGGATCCCAGCCTCTGTGGGAGAAAGGCAAGCAAGGGAGCCTGGACCTGCCCCATCGCCACACCCCTCCATATGACAAAGGACAGGGCTAGCATGAGTCACATGGGGCCAGTCCATCAGGACTCACCAGCTGTCTGTGGAAATCTCCCTCTGCTGGTAGGAGACCTCACTCCCAAACTCGGTGAGGTGTTGACTCATTCCACCCATTTACCAGAAACCCAATGGCAGGCCTACCTGTCTGGCACCTTCATTTCTCACAGGAGGGGACCAGGAACGGAGTTCTGCTGCTGCACAGTCCTGGGGACCAGGACTCAGCCTGGAGGCTAAAGGTAGTAGAGAGCTTTCCTGACATGCATATAAGGTCCTGGGTTCCATTTCTAGTACAGAACTGTCCCTGACCTGCCCAGATCCAGCTTCACTGGATTCATGCTGCTGCCCTGGGTGGACATCTGGGGGGCTCAGATGAGTGAGCTTTGTGCTTGGGGCTACCCAGAAATGATGGGAACTAGCCCTGGGAGGGTGTGGAAGTGGAGGACAGGCAGGCAGGTTCTCGTGTTAAATCACAGCTGGGAGAGGAGTCCCTGGCTCTGAAGCTGCCGGAGGGATTTGGATTATTATTAGGGTTTTTTTTGGGGGGAGGGTGTTAAGACAGGATTTCTCAGTCCTGGAACTCACTCTGGCCTTGAACTGACAGAGATCCTCCTGCCTCTGTTGGCATACACTTCCACCACCTGGCTGAATTATTTTTTATTAAAAAGACAAAACAGGGCTAGAGAGATGGCTTCAGTGTTGGAGAGCACTTACTGTTCTTCCAGAGGACCTGGATTCTAGTCCCAGCACCCACGTCAGGTGGCTTGCAGCCACTTGTGACTAGCTGCAGGGGGATCTGACTCTTCTGGCCTGTGAGGGCATCTGCACATTCGTCCACACATATGTATAATTATAAATAATAAATAATAAAAACAAACTTTAAGCTGGGTGGTGCTGGCACACCCCTTTAACCCCAGCACTTGGGAGGCAGAGGTAGGAGGATCTCTTGAGTTCGAGGCCAACCTGGTCTACAGAGCAAGTTACAGGACAGTTAGGGCTGTTACACAGAGAGACTGTCTTGAAAAACCATAAATAAGTAAATAATAAAATAAAAACAAGCCAGGTGGTGGTGGTGCATGCCTTTAATCCCAGCAGTTGGGAGGCGGAGGCAGGCGGATCTTTGTTAGTTCGGGGCCAGCCTGGGCTACAGAGAAAGATCCAGGAAAGGTGCAAAGCTACACGAGAAACTCTGTCTCGAAAAACAAACAAACAAAAAAGTAAAAACAAATCCTAAAGTATGAAATTGCTCAGCTTGTAGTCATGTTTGTAATCCTCTGGAAGGTAGAGGCAGGAGGACCAGGAGTCCAAGGTTCTCCTTGGCTGTGTATTAAGTTGGAGGCCAGCCTAGGCTGCTTAATCTCAGCAAACTGCGAGGTGTATCTTGTAGCCAAGGCTAGCCTCTAATTCTGTGTGTAGTTGAGAACCCAATCCTCCTCTCTCCACCTTTTGAGGGCTGAATTTACAGCTGTGTACCACACCTGGTGTCTTTGGTGCTGGAGGTTGAGCCCAACAACCAGCTGTATCCTTAGACCCAAAATTTATCACTTCAGCCACTTAAAATTTTTAACATGTTTTTAATCCCAGCACTTGGGAGACCAAGGCAGGTGGGTCACTGAGTTTGAGGCCAACTGGGTCTACATAGTGAGTTCCAGGGCTGTGTAGAGAGACCTTGCCTCAGTTTCTTGATTTTTACTTATGTGTGTTCATTTATGTGCATCAAGGTGTCCAAGAAGGCCAGAAGAGAATGTCAGACCCGCTGGAGCATAGGGTGGTGCTGAGGACAGAACGAGGTCCCGGTGACCACCAAGCCGTCTCTCTGGGCCCTTAACTAATAAAAGTTCTCTTTACTTACGTATACCTGTGTATGTGTGTAGGTGTGTGCACATGAGCGCACGTGCCAGTGGAGGCCAGAAGCGCTGTGGTTCAGGTGGTTGAGAGCCGCCTGGTGTACATGCTGGGAACTGAGCTCTGCTCTAATAAAGCAGGGCTTTTAACCGCTGACCCGGTTCTCCAGACAACCTTAACCACCATTCTTATTTTTTTTTAAAGATTTTATTTCACATGTGTGGGTATTTTGCCTACATTCATGTCTGTGTACCACATAAGTACAGTGCCCAGGAAGGAATCGAATCCCCTGGGGGACTGGAGTTACATACAGGTCAGGTATTAACTGTCATGTTGATGGGTGATGGGAACTGAACCCAGGTCCTCTGGAAGAGCAGCCAGTGCTCTTCACCACCGAGCCAACTGCGTCCGCACTTGAACCACTCTTGTGTGTACATCTGTAACTAAGCACACTCACGTCGCAGTCTTCACCGCCATCACCTCAGGAACTATTACTTTCCAGACATACTCTGTCATTGGCATTAGTCTCCCACCACAACCACACTGCCCTGGCTCAGAGCTGCAGGGCTTTCATAGAAAGGTGTGCCGGTTACTTCAGCCTGGGGCTTCTGGGGCACCGACGGCGCCCGGCTGTTGGTAACAGTGGTGCGGCAGCAGGCATGCCTGTGGTGTAGGTGTGGACTGGGAGACAGCCCCTCCCTGAGGTCAGCTGAGTCACGGTAGTGGTGGGTGCTGAACAGGTTGGGAGCTAGTGCTCCTGAGCCGACACCTGGTGGAGGTGGCCAGTTTTACCCAGTGTGCCCGGAAGGCAAACCTGAAGGGAGTACTTCGAAAAGCACGGGTGCCATCTGGCGGCCGGCACTGGGCAGCAGCCTGCGGGGCTCACCGGAACTGGGGTTCTAGTCCCGAGTCAGACGACTTGGGTCTTTTTTACCTCGGGTGTTGAGGCAAGATGATGTTCTCAAGGCCAGCTGGTGACTCGTGAAGAGGGGTCGTCCGTGGCAGAGGTTACCCTCAGCTTGGAGTCGGGTGTGGCAGGCGACGTTAACCACGGGCACCAGCTGGCTGCAGGAGTGGCTCAGGCCAGCGGGTGGGTGCTGCAGGGTGCCGCGGTGGCCACGCCCACCGCTGGAGGGCTGCTTCTGCAAGGGACTGCAATGTCCTTCACAGTCCAAGGCACGGAGCTGTAGGACGCTTGGAACCCTTGAACCCAGCTAAAAGAGCGAACGTAGGCAGAATCCACACGGACGCTCTGTCAGCACGAGTGCAGCACCGAGCCCGACCTGCGGCACCACTGAATCCTTTCCTCCCCTCAGGACCCCTGGCTCGCCCCCTGGATTGCCCCGGTGGCTTTTGTAAGGAGTCCAGTGAGGGGCTCCAGGCGGACCTGTCTTTCCCCCTGTATTCGCAGACAGGGTGCCGCGCTTGTTTTAGTGAGCCAGATTGCATTTTTCTTTTAGTACTGCTTGGCAATTCTGTTGTCAAATTAGGGACCCCTTGTCTGAGGAGAGGAGCTGGCCTGGCAGGTGGACAGCTGCATGGGGTCGCCCATGTGGTAGGAGCTGAGGTCCGCGGCCCACGGCGGCAGCAGTAAGCCTTTCAGCCCCACACAAGCTTTCAGACCTCTCAACGGTGGCTGTGAGAATTTTGTTTTGTTTTGTTTGGGGGTTTGAGGGAGCGGTGATCAGGTAAAGTCTTATTTAGCACAGCCTAGCCTCAAGCTTGCTATGTATTGGAGGCTGGCCTTGAACTCTGATCCTCCTGCCTCTACCTCACAACTGTTGGGATTAAAGACACAGGGTACCACACCCAGTTCCAGCAGCATCTTGGGGGCAGTCTGGAGAAACCAGAGCCTAACCACAGGTCCAGGCCACTTCTGGGCTCCTCACTCCAAAACACTATGAGGAGGTCATGTTTTAGGGGTGATATGCTGCACAGCAGGAGGTATCTAACAGTCCAGATGCGGCCTCTGAACCGGTTTCCTCACTCACACCATGAGGGCTGGCTGAAGAGAGTAAAACAGCGTGAGCCATGAGCACACCAGACACCTCCCAGCCCTTCTAAGATGGTTCTCATCATCCTCTTGCCCGTCCATGACCTCATAATGTCACCCCAAGCCACTACATACTTGGCTCAGGGATACTCTGCAGACACAAGAGATTCTGGGCACAGAAGGGACAGAGAGTCCCTCTCCTTGGCCTTGGGGACGAATGAACTGAACTGTACCAGACCAGGTAAGACCATCTCCCCTCCTGTCCATTGTCCTGAGGTGGGCAGCCAGACCTACCTACACAGGTGCCCTGTCTTTGCAGAAGTAAGAGGAGCTCGCTGGCCAAGGCTGGCTTGAGTCTTGCCTGTTGGCTGCCATGAAGGTCCTAGAGACAGAACCTCTTTCTCCTGCCCTCCCTACCTTGTTCCTGTCACCTGCTCAGTTGCCTTTAAACCGTGTGTGTGTGTGTGTGTGTGTGTGTGTGTGTGTGTGTGTGTGCGCGCGCGCGCGCACGCGCGCGCACGAATCCAGGTACCCTCATAGGCCAAAGGTGTTGGGTCTCCCTGAAGCTAGAGTTACAGGCCGTTGTGAGCAACCTGTTGTCAAATTAGGGACCCCTTGTCTGAGGAGAGGCAGCTGGCCTTGTTTTACTGTAGGAGGCTTTCTTGGACCACCAGCTTCCAAATCACAACATGGAGACTTATTGTTAATTATAAATACTTGGCCTTAGCTTAGGCTTGTTTCTACCTAGTTTTTTTTTTTTAACTTAAATCAACCCATTTGAGGCACATTTACCTCATCTATGTACTGTCCATCCTGCTTTCCTGCTTCCTCCATGTCTGACTGGCTGGACCCTAGCTATTGACTATTAAGCTTTTTGATTAGACCTATCAGGTGCCTTAGGCAGGCAAGGTGAAACAGCAACACATCTTTACATAGTTAAACAAATATTCCATAACAGAAACAAATGCAACACATCTTTATATAGTTAAACAAATATTCTCTTCCACAGGTGCTGGGAACCTCACTTGGGTCCTCTGCAAGACCAGTAGATGCTCTTAACTGCTGGGCCATCTCTCCAGCCCAACACCTTTTTATTTCAGCCAGCATACTACCATGCCCAACTTTTTTTATGTGGACTCTGGGGAATCAACTTAGGTTCTTATGTTTGCAAGGCAATCATTTTACCAACTAAACCATTTCCTGGCTCATCTTAGGCTCTTTTAATTTTAATTTTACATCGTTTATTGGGATCTGAACTTGTACTTCAGAGGTAGAGCATTTGCCTAGCATGTTCAAGTTCCTAAATTTGATTCCCAACACCAAGACATGCACAAAAAATACTTTATATACACTTAAAAATATTTTAACAGGCCTTACATAGTGGCTCAGGCCTTTAATTCCAGCACTCAGGAAGCAAAGGCAGGCAGGTCTCTATGAGTTCAAGCCCAGCCTGGCCTACATAGTGAGTTCTAGGCTGACAAAGGCTAGATAGTCTTTACCTAAAAGAATATTTTATTTTGTGTATATGTATGTGTTTGGGTACATGTGTGCCATGGTGCAAGTGTGGAGCTGAAAACCAGTAGCAAGCAGTTGGCTCTCTACTGTGTATGGTTATCACACAGGTCATCACATAACTCAGGCTGGCCTCGAACTCACAGAGATCTGCCTGCCTCTGCCTCCCAAGTGCTGGGATTAAAGGCGTGCGCCACCACCGCCTGGCGGCAGCAGGTGTCTTTATACCAGCTCAGCCTTCTGTTGGCCAGTCACATACTTATAGCAGGAAAAATATCCACTGTATTTCCCCCACTTGTGGCAGGGGGTCATTCCATGACCAAGGCTGGCCTTGAACTTGAGATCCTCCTACCTTAGCCATCAGAATGCTAAAATGAAAGGAGTGTGCCACCACATCTCATTTTTGCCTCTACCAGAGAAGGAACCTTGGACTTCATGCACCCAGAGTGTCACTCTGACACTGCTCTCTGTCTCCCAGCAGCGCAGCTCACGTTCAATGGATCTTTAAACATTTTACATGTGTGTATGTATGTATGCATGCATGCATGTATGTATGCATGCGGTGTGTGTGCTGCAGCCTGTATGTGGTAGTTAGAGGACAACTTTTTGGAGTCAGTTCTCTCTTTCATCATGTGGGGCCCAGGGATTGAACTCAAGTCATCAGGTGATGTACCTTTACCTGCTGAACTATCTTGCTGGCCAGATGGTTCTCTCTGTGTAGCCCTGCCTGTCCTGGAACTCACTCTGCAGACCAGGCTAACCTCAAACTCAGAGATCAGCCTGTATATGTCTCCCGAGTGCTGGGATTAAAAGTGTGTGCCACCACTGCCTTGCAATTTTTTTTTTTATTCTTTAACTTGCTTCTTTTTTTATTATTTTGAAAAAAAAAATTTGTTTAACTTTTTGAAAAGGGTTTCACTGTGTGGCCCTGACTGGTCTGAAACTCACTTCATAGACCAGGCTGTCCTGAACTCAACAGAGATCTGCCTGTCTGCTTCCGGACTGCTGGAGTTAAAGGCCGGAACCACCACACCTGCTTTGGCTTGCTTCGTTAACTTTACTCTTTCTGTTAGAACTTTGCCCTGTTCCTTGTAGTAAGTGCACACCAATCTCCAGGATCAGCAGGAGGCCGTTGGTATGTGTGTGTGGTATGTGTATGCATGTGGAGGCCTGAAGTTGACATTGGGTGTCTCCCTTAATGGCTCTCCACTTTAGTTATTGAGGCAGGCTCTCTCAAATGAACCCAGAGCTTACCGATAGGCTAGGACAACTAGCTGCTTACCCCAAGGATCTCCAGTCTCTACCTCTTGAGTGTTGAGTACCTGCCTGACCACGAAGTAGGTTCACAAGATCCAAACTCCAGTCCTCATGTTTGTGTGGCAAGGGCTGTGTCCACTAAGCCATTTCCTCTCCCCTTTGATCTCATTTTTATTTTAGTGCTACTGAGGATTAAACTCAGAGCCTCACACATACTAGGCAAGCACTCTCCCTTTGAACTACGTCTCCAGCCCTCATCGTTTTTGTTTGCTTGTTTGTTTTTTGTTTTTAATTTTTCATGAGCATTGGTTGGTGTTTTGCCAGCATGTATGTCTGTGTGAGTGTGTCAGAGCCTCTGGAGCTGGAGTTACAGACAGTTGTGAGCTGCCATGTGGGTGCTGGGAACTGACCTGGGTCCTCCGGAAGAGGAGCCAATGTTCTTAACCACTGAGCCATCTCTCCAGCCCTCCTCATTTATTTTACAATCCCTTGAAACAAATAAGACATTGCTTTTTTCTTTTTCATTTTTTTTTAAGATTTATTTATTTATTATGTACACAGAGGAGGGCACCAGATCTCATTACAAATGGTTGTGAGCCACCATGTGGTTGCTGGGAATTGAACTCAGGACCCCTGGAAGAGCAGTCAGTGCTCTTAACCTCTGAGCCATTGATCCAGCTCCGCTTTTTTCTTTTTTTAAAATCTTTTTTGGTTTGTTTGTCTGTCTGTCTGTCCTTTCTTCCTTTCTTCCTTTCTTCCTTCCTTCCTTCCTTCTTTCCTTCCTTCCTTCCTTCCATCCTTCCTTCCTTCCTTCCTTCCTTCCTCCCTCCCTCCCTTCCCAAGACAGTATTTCCCTGTGTAGCCCTAGCTGTCCTGGAACAGCTCTGTAGACCAGGCTAACCTTGAACTCAGGGATTCATCTACTTCTGCCTTCCAAGTACTGGGATTAAAGGCTTGTGCCGTAGCCACCACCACCTGGCTTTAAATATGTTTCTTAAAGACTATAATATAGGCGCATACCCTCCCTCTTCCTCCCCTCCCTCTCGGCCCCCCATGTGCCTCACCTCTTGCTCTTTAAGCTCATGGCCCCTTTCATTTGTGCTGCTCAATGGTAGATTGTTTGCTTGGAAGGAGGGAGGCTGTGGCCCTAATGCTCAGCAACACAACACACAGTAAGCTGTGGGGTCACAAATATATTTTGACCAGCTTTACATTCATTAGTGAGAAGTTCTGAACTGTGGTTGGTGATCCTCCTGCCTCAGACTCCTGAGTACTGGGAGTACAGAAGTTAGTCACTATGCCCAGCCCCATTTTATCAATTTTTATTTTTGTCAGTAGATAAAAGACCAAATAGTGGGCCTGGAGAGATGGCTCAGCAATTAAAAGCACTGTCTGCTTTTCTTGAGGACCAGGTTCAATTCCCACAGCCACACGACAACTTAAACTGTCTTTAACTCTAGTTTCAGGGATTTTATGCTCCCTTCTGACCTTCCTGGCACTGCACACAAATAGTACTCAGACATACATGCAGGCAAAACACCCATACACATAACATTTTTTTTAAAAAGCCAAATAGTTCTGAAAAGGCTGTGATAAAATCAGTAACCTCCCTGTCTTCCTGCTTTTTATGTCCATCTTTATATCTTGAGTCATCATTTGTGACTATATATTGCTTTTGTGCTGAATACCCTGCCACAGCTCCAGCCTCATGTCAAGGGAGTCTGATGATTCAGGGTTGAGTCAGTACCTGATCATGTCTGTAAATATCACACTCGGCAGGAGAGGCACTGAAGAGAGACTCACACTGTGGCCATGCTGGCTCTCTAGTAGAGGTTTTGGTTGTTGGGTTTATTTTTCCTGATTATTTTCATCTCTGTCAGCTTCTCAACTCAACTTTCTATGTGTTGAGAACCTACCTTTTTAAGTATTTTTTATGGATTACTCGGGAAGCCTGCTTACCAATGGTCTGGGTGCTTCCTGCCCACAGCTCTGATCTTGGATTTTCTCCATTTAAACTTTTACCTCCTCCCTGTGCACTTCTGCAACCCCATTGATAGGAGTTTCTTTCTCCCCAACAAGACTTTTCACCTTCTAATATGCTATAAAATTTGCCTATTAGCTTTCCTCTCTTCCTCCACTCCTGTATTAGTACCAGAATTCCACAGGAAACCTTTTTGTGTTTTGTTCACTGGTGAATTTCCAAGCACAGTGCTTGGCACGGGGAGGCCCAATGATCGTTGAAAGGATACAGGATACAGGGCCTGGGTATACTCTATTCCTGTGTATTCTCATATCTTCTTTCTTTTTTTTTATTTAAATTTTTTTTTTTTTTTTTTTTTTTTTTTTTTTTTCTGGAGCTGGAGAGATGGCTCAGCAGTTAAGAGCACTGGCTGCTCTTCCAGAGGTCCTGAGTTCATTTCCCAGCAACCACATGGTGGGTCACAACCATCTGTAGTGAGATCTGGTGCCCTCTTCTGGCCTGCAGGCATACATGCAAGCAGAACACTGTATAATGAATAAACAAACAAACAAATAAATCTTTAAAAAAAGAAAAAAATTCCTTTCCTTTACATACCAACCCCTGCTCCCCTCCCTCCCCTCTCCCACTCTCCTCCTCCTCCCACTCCACCCCATCCCCTCCTCATAGAGGGAATGACAGTGTAGCCTTTGTGGGACATGGCAGGCAATTTAGCAGTAATGAACTGCACTTTGACCTACTAATTTCATAGACTACAAATTTATCCAAGAAAGCAAGTAAGGCTGTGTCTAGATTTTGGTGTAGGACTTGGTTCATGAGAACAAAACAAAACTGGGAACTATTTTGTTGTTGTTTTTGTTTGTTTGTTTGTTTGTTTGAAACAGGGTTTCTTTTTGTAGCTTTGGCTGTCCTAGAACTAACTGTGTAGACCAGGCTGGCCTCGAACTCATAGAGATCCACCTGCTTCTGCCTTCCAAGTGCTGTGATTAAAGGTGTGCGCCACCACCACTCAGCCTGGGAACCATTTTAATGTTTGGTATGTTAGTAGAGATTTATCAATATGTGGATCTCTAAATACCCATCTGTAAATGGAATGTTCCTGCAATGGAATCCTCTGCAGCTGAGGCAGATGGCCACCAGGAGAAGGGCACACAGGACACAGGGGAACAGTGTTTGGTGTCAAAGGAAGGATGGGTCACCCCACATGAGACTTCTGGGCACTGGGAGTTATAGTCCATGCTGCTTTAAGTCAACCCACCGTGTGTGTGTGTGTGTGTGTGTGTGTGTGTGTGTGTGCACATTTGTGTGTGTGAGTGCAGGCACATATATGGAGGTCAAGGACAGCTTCAGGTCTTAGTCCTTATCTGCCACCTTATTTGACACAAGGTTTCTTCTTATTCATTTATTTTTAGTTTCTTGGTTTGAGACAGGATCTCACTATGTAACCTTGGCTGGCCTGGGACTCACCATGGAGGCCAAGGTGGCCTCAAACTCACAGAAACTTCTTATAGGGCTGGAGAAATGGCAGAGGTTAAGGGCACGTGTTGCTGTTGTTCTGAGCACCCACCTGTTGATAACAACCATCTCCAGTTCCAGGGGATTTGATACCCTCTTCTGACCTCTGTGGGCACCAAGCACACATGTGGGGCAAGACAGATATACATGCAAGAAAAACATACAACATAAAAGTAAATAAACCTAATCAAACTTTAAGAAACTTACTGTATTGTGTGTGTGCGATGGGGGCATACACGCATCATAGCACATACATGGTGTCAGTTATCACCCATCTTGGCTTCGGTTGGGTTAAACTCAGGCTGTAAAGCTTGCACATCGGTGTTTTACCTGCTGAGCCAAGTCAGGTCTGTTGTTCAGGGTTTGGGTGACTGGGATTCTCAAGCTCTAGGGATTCTCTTTTCACAGGAATGCTGAGTTTATGGGATGAGCTTAATTGTGGATGGCTTTATATGGACTATGAGGATCCAAACTCAGGTTTTCATGCCTTTATAGCAAGTACTTTACCCACTGAGCCTCTCTTGGTGTTTTGTTTAGTTTTGAAACAGGGTTTCTTTGTGTAGCTTTGGCTGCCGTAACTATGTAGACCAGGCTGGCCTTGAACTCATGGAAATCCACCTGCCTCTGTCTCCTGAGCGCTGGGATTAAAGCTGTGCACCACCACCACCACCACCGTCCTGTTTGTTGTTTTTAAGGCCTATAAATACATGGCAGACTGGAAGAATGGATAGATATGGACTGTGTCTTTAGGGGTTGACATACAGGTTCTAGAATGTGGCTGCCTGGGTCCCCATTCTGACACTGCAAACTGTGGAATTGCCACTCCTGTGCCTCAGTTTCCTCATCTGAAAATTGGGGCCACAATGTTAGTGATGCTTCAGAATAAATGAGATTTAGGATGAAAATTCCTCACTTTAGAGTCAATATGAAGTACCTGTTAATGGCCATTAGTGCTTGTTTGGTAATTCATTCTGCCTGCATGGGATTATGAATTTATCCCATGAATGTTGGCTGCTCTATATCATCCAATTTTTTTTTTGGAGACAGTCTTGTTATTTATTGCTCAGGTTGACTTTGAACTCCTGGACTCAATTGATTTGCCTACCAGGTTAGAAGTCTCTACAGGTACATTCCACTTCATCTGACTTTAAACCATTTTTTGAGTGAGGCAGGTAGAAGTAGAATTTTTAGTAACCTACCTAGTTTGGTTAGTGCTGTGTGTGTGTATGAATGTGTATGGGGTCATCCACTTGAGCATGGACAACCTTGCAGTGGCCACAGCGTCACAGAAAAAAGGCTCTTCCCCAGCAGCCATCAGTTGCAGTGACTACTCAGACAGGTGTGGGGCCTTGTAAGGCCCTCTCCTATCCATGCTGGAGTTGTGACTGGCGTGGTCTTGTGCAGGTACCCACAGCTGCTTTGAGTGTATGAGTACCATGGACATATATGTTCAGGAAACAATTTCTCAGCATTCCTCCCCATTTTGTTTTCTCTGTGTAGTCCTAGCTATTCACTTTGTGGACCAGGCTGGCCTCAAATTCACAGAGCTCCACCTGCCTCTGCCTCCCAAGTGCTGGGACTAAAAGTGTGCACTATTACCATCTGTCTCTAGATGCCCCATTTAAGGCTGAACACTCAGTCATTTTCAGCCGACTTTAAATTACTTAAAAAAATAACAACAGGTATCTGGAGAGGGTAATGAATACCTGTAATCCAAGCACCTGGGAAGCTAGGGCAGGAAGTTCAAAAACTGAAGGCAAGCCTGGTCTACATAGTGAGGTCCAGGTTATCCAGGGCTACATGTTGAGACCCTGTTTCAAAGCCACCACAAAAACAAAGGTGGTAAGAGGTAGGAGTGTATTTAGATATTTTAATTTAGAGAAATGTAGCATGTGTGAGGTCCTGAGTTCAATTCCCAACGCTGAAATAAACCGGTAAGGGCGGGGGAGATGGCTTAGCAAAGTGCCTGCCATGTGAACATGAAGTTCTGAGTTCGGATCCTCAGCACTCACGTAAAAGCTGCGGGTGGTGGGCATGCCTGTAATTTCACCCCTGGGAAAGTAGAGACGGGAGGATCACTGCATCTCATTGGCCAGCCAGCCTAGAGGAATCAGCAAGCTCCAGGTGGAGAATGGTATTGAAGATACCTGGCATCCACACACAAGTGGACACACACATATATTATACACAAAGCACCAAAAGTTTTTTTCTTAAAGTAAAGATTGTAAAATTTGTATTCGTTTCACCACAATTAAAAAAAACCCAACAACAGCTTTGTCATTCACCAACTAAAGCAGGGTGTGGCGGCTCACACCTGTAATCTCAGCAGTTGGGAGGCCGAGACGGAAGGATTGCTGCAAGTATGGGGCCAGTCTGGGCTACATAGTGAGATCTTGTTGAGGGGGAAGGAAATAAAAATAATAAAAGCAAGCTCACAAAGACACCCAAAGAGAAAAACGACACCCACCAACACAGAGGCACAGTTTCCGAGGCTGTCAGTGACAGGACGGCTTGTTTTCTGCTTCAAATAATAGGATAGCCCAATCTCTCTCCCGGATCACTCGTGAGCTGTGAATCAAAGACATTCAAGTAGTCCAGGCAGCGGGTTCAAGCTCAGCCTTGCTGCTGCCCCAGGCGTGACCTTGGTCGGCCGGCCGCCCAGCCTCAGTTTACCTGACAAGGAACGCGGATGACAGCTCGGCGCTCTAGACCCAGCCCCTCCCCGCCGCCCCGGATTGGCTCGCTCGGTCTCCCTCTACAGGCGCGCCGGGACCCAACCCGGAAATGCGGTTCCTGGGCGGGGGCGGGGCACTCACGGCCCGCGGCGAGTGATCGGTATACTGACCAATGGACGTGGGCAGCGGCGGCTGCGTCGCGGAAGTCCCACCCAGCGTCGCGCGGGGGCGGGGTGGCGCTGGGGGCGGCAGGCAGCGGGGCGGGCGCAGGATGAGGGCGGCCATTGCTGGGGCTCCGCCGCGGGGAGGAGGACGCTGAGGAGGCGCCGAGCAGCGCAACGCTGCGGGGGAGGCGCCCGCG